TCTTTGATAATATAAGAAAACATTACAAACTAACTCAGATCAGTTTATTGGCTATAAGATGGTGATGTGGGAGTCCCCTCTGTGCGCTGTCATTACCATTAATGAATAAAGAAACTGCCTTGGCCTGTTGATAGGGCAGAACTTAGGTAGGCAGGGAAGAGAGAGCTGAATGCTGTGAAAAAGAAGGTCAGAGTCAGAGAGATTCCATGGAGCCGCTGGAGACAGACACTAGGAATTTTACCCAGTAAGCCACTGCCATGTGGTGATAAACAGATTAATAGAAATGGGTCAAATTAAGATGTAAGAGTTAGCCAATAAGAAGTTAGAGCTAATGGGCCAAGCAGTGATTTAATTAATACAGTTTCTGTATGGTTATTTCAGTTCTGGATGGCCGGGACAAACAAGCGGGCCCTCCTCCTACAAGATGGAAAATAAATGTTGACAAGGATGTGGGGAAATTGAAATCCTCACACATTTCTGGTAAGAATCAAAAGTATTTTAACCATTTTTAACCTATTATTCTATAAGCAACCTGATTAAATTCATTGGGACACACGGAGGGATTGAAGGAATATAACTGACTGGGAAGAGGAAGATAAGCAGGGGTGTGAGGGGACAAAAGAGGCTAATCAGTGTGAATATGATCAAAATATTGCATGCTGTATCAGCTGCTTTTCTTCTACTATGACAAAACACCATGAGGTGATTTCCAGAAGAATGAGTTAATTTGGGCTCATGATTCCAGAGGGGGTAGATGAATGGTTAGGTTAGTCCATGGAGGCAGACAGAGCAAAGGCATGGTGGCAGAAACGGGGACCTGAGGACTCATATTTTGAACTACGAGCAAGAAGCAAAGTGTGAACTGTAAATGGCACAACCCTTTAAGTCTAAGTTACCTCCAATGACACACTTCCTCCTGCAAGGCCACACCTCCTAAGCCTCCCCAAAGAGCACCACCAACTGGGGGCCAACCATTTTGACATTATGGGGATATTCAAACCACCGTACATACATTTGTTAAATTTCAGTGGTAACGAAATCTATTATTATGTATAATTAATGCATGCTAGTAAAAACTTTTTTAAAAGACAAAGTATTTGTTTGGTTTACAATTCTAGGGTTCCAGTCCCTCGATCTGGCAGTCCTAATTCTTTGCAACTCCGAAGATGATGGACACCATGGTGGGAAGGTGTGGGACAAACCGCTTATCTCTTGGGCCAAGGAGCAAGGAAAAGAGGACGATACTGAGTCCCATACTTCCCTTGAGAGGACACTTTCCTCTGACCTAAAGATCTCCCACTAGGTCCTACTTTCTAAGTCCCAAAATTGCTCCCCTGGGGGCCAAGTCTATAACAGGACACTGACATCCAATCCATAACGTTTTCCACCAACCCCAAGAGCCAAGGTCCGCCAAAGCTTCACATGCAAAAGAAATAAATCATTTGGCCTCTTTTAATCAGTACTATCAACTACACTGTGCTTAGTCATACTTTTATACATATACAATTCATTTATTCCATCCCAACAGACCCCCCCCACAACATAGTTCAACATCTCTAGCAGGACTCAAAGCAAACTCAACTTTGAATGCCCAACAGAATCAGAAAGAAAGGGGTAATATACCTAAAGATGGTACAGGTGTAGGATAAGCATTTCCAAAGAATGGGAAAACAGGAGAGATCAGCCCAAAGCAAGACCAAAATTCAGCAGGGTTAACATGAAATTCTAAATGTCTATGCCTGGTACGCATGCTGGGTGACAGGAGCTGGGCTTTCAAACAGCTGGGCAACCCTACGGTCTCATCAATTACAGACAACACAGCCACCATCCCAGGATGGCTTTGCATACTGCTTGTCATCTTCCCTAGTGAATGCTACTTGTTGCTAGCACCTCTAGCTGTCTTGGGTCCTGCTGCAGCTCTGGTTTCACTCCCACAGCTCTGCTACAAAGTGCTCTATTGAAGCCTGCCCACAGGGCTCCAGCCCTATAGCACACTAGCTTTGGGGAGACATTCAACATCCAAACTATAGCAAAGAGTTTGAAGGTGGTGAACAGCATGAGAGATTTGGGGTTTACATCTCTTGGAGGAGTAGACAGAATGATAAGAGAATGAAGCAGAGAGGTCTGAACCAATATCTTTGGGTCTCTCTCGGGCTCCCTGGTACTGTGCAAAATGTCCCTACTCACAAAAGGACATAGAATGATGCTGTGTAGAGTCATCTGTGTAGGTGCTGGAGCAGAGGGGTAATCACATGGACTATTCAGGTATTCGTACCACCAGCAGAAGCCTGGGTCTGTCTAGATCAGCTGGTGAGTCCCCAGCCTCTGGCCCTCCAGAAAGAAAGAACACTAGTTGTCACACGCTGCTATTTATCGGTCAGCACAAGGGGACCAGAGACCTGAGCAGGCAAGACATGAGGCTGAGGGAAGTCAGGGCCCTGAGGATAGAGCAAGGAACTCCACGGTCTCCAGCCCCATCACCATGTGTGACACAATACATCTGTCATGACTCGGGGAGGGAGCAGGGCACAGAAAGAACCTGAAAAGCTAAGGTGCTAGGGGTGCCAGCAGACGTGTCAACAGAAGATTCCCAGCCAGTCAGAGACGGAAACAGGCAAAGACAGGTTGCAACTGAAACTCTCCCTGATATGGCACAACAGAAAGTATAAAAAAAATCAGTACATGGTCCAGATGAAGCCACTTCCCCCTGGAGCCTGTGGTGACTGTTTACCTGCCAAATGAAATCTGGCTTCAGAGGCTGGGATGGGGGATGGAAAAGTCAGGAGTGGGATGTTAACAAGGAGGAAAACACGGAGTTTGGAAGCAAGATTGGGTCTGTTTCTCAGGGCTGTAACTCCAACACAATCAAATGTCTGTCTTAGCATAAATGAATGAGCAAATGAGTGGTGGACAGTACCATAAAGGAGACAGATGCCTGGGAAGCCTGGACTCTTAGATCCTGTCCACTAAATGTTAAAATTCCTCTCTCTCTATCTCTCTGTCTCTGTCTCTCTCTCTCTCTCTCTCTCTCTCTCTCGTGTGTGTGCATGTGTGTGTGTATACACAAATGTTCATTTGTGTCTAACTGTGCATATGTTTGGGTATGCATAGCCATGTGTGCATGTGTGTGTCTATACACACATGTTCATTTGTGTCTAAGTGTGCATGTGTTTGGGTATGCATAGCCATGTGTGCATGTGAAAGCCAGAGGTCAACCCTGTGCATCTTCTTCAATTGCTCTCCACCTTAATCATGTAAGGTAAGATTTCTCTCTGAACCTGGAGTTCATCCATTTGACTTAAATGGCTGGTCCAGGGATCTTCCTGGCTCACTTCGCCAACATAATAATTCCAGATATTGATCACCACATCCATCTTAAACATAATGCTTTCAGAATCCATGGGGCACTGGTCCTAAGGATATACTAACATCTATAGATGGGCTGGAGAGATGGCTGAGTAGTTAAGAACACTTGTTCTCACCGAGGGCCCAGGTTCAGTTCCTAGCACCCATATGGCAGCTCATGGATTCTTTGCCCTTTTCTGACCTCCTCAGGCACCAGGCACACACATGATATACAGACATACATGTAAGCAAAATACTGATAAAATAAGATAAAGCTAAAAGTAAATTAAAAAAAAAAGTCTATAGATATCCATGGCCCTTATATGAGGTGGCATAGTATTTGCATATAGCCTGCTTGTACTGCCTAGCACGGGATAAATGCTATGTGTGTTGCTGCATCCTTTAGAGAATAATAACATGAAGAATATATACTGTCATATATTCAGTGCAGGTACAAATTTTTCCAAATATTCTTGAGCCATGGAGGGTTGATATATCTTAATATGGCTTCCTCGGCAGACTCTGGCTTTCAGAAGTTAGCTTCAGAAGACGTTACAGCTATAGCTGACTGTGACTAAGTCTGTGTCCACAGCTTAGGACTCAGGACAGAAAAGAGTCTGAGCACTGTGACGGCAGAGACAGCATTTTGTTCACGGCTTTTTCTCTGGCTTTGAAAACAGTGATTCAATCATCCTTAGGTAGCCAGTACTTGTTAAATAAATGGTCATGTGATAAACTGTTTCAAAGCATGTAAGAACACAAGATATCTCTCTCGAACCTGAGTAGATAAGGACAGATACGCTGGTGGTTGGTTAAAACATTTTAAAGTATTTATTTGACTGTTTCTTTAAGAACCATAACAAACGCCTTCTATGGAGGACTGACTTTATTCCCCATCATCTTACTATTGTTAGGCTGCTCCTCAAGCTGTCTGCATCCAAGGCTGCTTTATGAGCTGGAATCTGGACAGTCAAATGGCTCTGAACTCGGAAGGCCATATACTTGTTTTACTATGGCTTCATATTCCACCCTTGTAATTTTAAACTTAACTGATTCTTAAGTTTTTCACATGTATTTGCTGGGAAAGGTGTGCAAACCGCAGCACACGTGAAGGTCAGGAAAGAGTCGGCTCCGTCTGTTCTCTCTCTCTCGACCATGTGGGCTCTGGGATCCAACTCAGGTCATATTCACTCCTTGAGCTGCTTGCCAGCCCTGGTCCCACGTTTTTATTTTACACTGGGATCCATAGATTGTATGACCGTCCTGATTGTATCTGAAGGTAGAAATACTCTCTACTGGTACATCACTGTGTGTCTCTTCCCAACTCGGGGTTCGGTGCCCTCATACAGCTTGAAATGGGCCATGGTAGACTTTGGTGCACACTGGATATCGGGGTAAGGAACAAGGGCAAAGCATTCGCAAGCACAGTTTGGCAGCTTGAGCCGCACATGGAGCCTTGCTCCTGTGACTGCTTAGAGAATTCCGCAGTGAGAAAGCAGGACCTTTGTCATCGCAGTTTATTTTTGTTCCTGACAAGGAAGAGAAACAATTACCTCAGCCCCAGCATTATTTCAAAATCTAAATTCAGATCTTCTGCGATTGGAAAGTGTCACGCTTAAAATATGACACCCCAGGAACGTACAGGAAAATCTGCCTGAATCCGGGCGTGCACCAATATGTGGATAACCGATTGAAAATCCCGGAGGGCAGGTCTCTTTTTCCCAGGCAGGAGCTGCCCCTCCCCCACCTCTGCTACACCGAGGGCTCACTGGGGAGGGGGCTGGGTGATCCTCGCCAGCTCCGGGCTGGGGAAAACTATCCGCTTCCCACCATCACCACCATATCCTCCACCCACCCACCCACTGCCTGCACGGCCGCGAGCGCAGAGTGATGGAGGCCTGGCTGGAGACGCGCTGGGCGCGGCCCTTGCACCTGGCTTTGGTGTTCTGCCTGGCGCTGGGGTTGATGCAGGCAATCAAGCTCTACCTGCGGAGACAGCGACTCCTGCGAGACCTGCGCCCCTTCCCGGGGCCGCCCGCCCACTGGCTCCTCGGACACCAGAAGGTAGACCGAGGGAGGGGCACCGCAGGATGCTGCAGAGCAAGCCCATAGCTTAGCCGCTCTTTCTTTCCCTCCCTTGTGGCTCCGGGTTATTCTTGGACTTCCCAGTCCAAGATGGGGTGGGGTGGCTCTCTGTAATACTGGAGTCTCTCTCATTTCCTTGGAGAAGGATCGCTAGAGAGGGGGGTTATTTGGGAAGCCTGAATATATAAGAACGCTGGGTGTCAATTCAGTCTCAGTCACCTGGGCATATCTCCCACGTGTATTGTTTAAACTCAGTATATTGGTCTAAGTTATACATATTAGTTGTAGAAAATGTGCAAAATCGAACGCAATAGTTTGCACCCTTGATTCATTCTGACCAGAAAGAAATTAACTGTGTTTTCTAAGATTCCTGTAAAGCCGGAAGCGGCCCCGCCCCACTGCTCCGAGAATACAGGGTGAGAAAGATTTGTTGAGCGTAGTGAGACAATCACTTGTTCGGTCTCTCCTGTTTTTCAAATCCACTCCCAACGCGGATTCTTAAATTCTGTCAACCCCCTGGGAGTAGTAGTTGTGTGCTAAGTACTGGGGCTACGAAAAGAATATGCGTCCTTTGATCGAGGGGCCCAACTAAAGTACAGACTTGAGGAGCAAAGAAACTGAAAATCCTGGGAAAGGGGGGGATGATGGTGACTCCTAGAAAACGCTGCGAAGGGACTGCACAAACCTCTCTGGGAATGGATGGGCTGGAAAAGGGTGCACTGGCATTTTGCTCCTCGGTTTCCTGAACTATATATTTCTGTCACGTACCATGTACCGTGTCCCATGTGCTGACTAGAGGTCCTTCAGGTACACTCCCAGATGCGCATTTACCACACTTTCTTTCTTTTCTTTTCTTTATTAATTTATTTTGATTGTTTGGGAGTTTGGCTTTGAGGGTTTGGGTGGACAGAGTCAATCACCATAGTCCAGGCTGTCCCGGAACCTCACTATGTAGCCCAGGCTGTCTTCAAACTTGCAGTGATCCTTCTACTTCAGCCTCCCAAGCCTCACGATGGGATAGCATGAGCCACCATGCTTAGGGAACACACAATTCTCCTTTCATTCATCCAGATATATTCTCTGAGGCTGGCTCCGAATCTGGGCCATTATAAATAATGCTGCAGTGGGCATAAAAGCCAGATGAAATAGCAATTAATTATTTTGCAAATACCCAGAAAATGAATCACTGGATTTTTTTAGATTTATTTGTTTCATTGTATGTGTACGAGTGTTTTGCCTGCATGGATGTATGTATAGCATATATGTGTCCTGTACCCACAAAGGTCAAAAGAGACCTAGTTGCCCATCTCCTGGCCTGGAACTAGAGTTATGGATGGTTGTGGACTGTCATGTGGGTTCTAGGAACCAAACCCAGCCCCTCTGCTTTAACAGCAAGTGCTCTTAACTACCCAGCCATCTGAAAAATGTTTTTAATCTGGCTGTCACAATTTTAGTGTCTATGAGTTCTGTCTTATGCTCCATTTGTTCTTCCACCAATTACCTTGTATTACATAAAAACACTACACTTGACAATGGCCATTTCTTTTTCTCTTTTTCTTCCTTCCTTCCTTCCTTCTTTCTTCCTTTCTCCCTTTCTTTTTTTCCTGAGACAGGGTTTCTCTGTGTAGCCCTGTCCATCCTGGAACTTACTCTGTAAACCAGGTCAGGCTTGATTCACCTGCCTCTGCCCCTTAAGTGCTGGGATTAAAGGCATGCACCACCACCACCCCTCCCACACTGACAATAGCCAGTTCTTAGGCTCAGTATTCTTTGAGTTGGCACTTTGAGCTGAGTGAGGTTTTCCAGGTGAATCGAGGTCCTGCTGACTTTGGCTAGCCTGGCTAATTCACCGCAGTTCACAGCAGGTCAGATAAAGGTTGGCAGTTATTCTAAATGCCTTGGTCTCTTCTTCCTGCTCTACTATCTTTCCGCTTTTATCTTTAACTGGCAAGCCTGGCCGTGCTTACCTGATGTCAAGGTCCCAAGAAAGCAAGAGGGCAAATCTGACCTTGAAAGTAGTCTTTAAACCTTCCAGCCATGTATGCTGCTCTTGCATTGATTTATCAGAGCCAGTCATATGAGCAAGTCTAGAGTCAGGGTGGGAGAGCACAGAGCACATGAATACAGGGGACATTAATAAATTAAGATCGTTGTCAAAGTGACTAAATACATCCTTTATTAGAGTTCTAACATTTTTCATAAACTGCTATGTGGTATCTCCTTTGATGTGTTAATTGCAGTTTTCTGTAATTTTTTTCTAAGCCTCGCATATTTTTGTTTCCTTTCTATTTGCCTGTTGTCTTTTGCTGCCTAACAAATTTCTCACAAACTTAGCAGCTTAAAACAACAAATTTTATCTCGTGCAGTTTATGTAAGTTTATATAAGGGTTGGCGACTCAGTAATGGCTTCCAATAACTGGGTGATTCTGACTCCAAGTCTTTAACAAGGTTGTGTGGAGATGGCGAGGGCTGCGATCCTCTAAAGGATTTACTGGACGGGATCCACCTCTGTAACAAGGAGGGTCCTGTTTGTTGTTGGGGTTTTTGTCCTGCCCGGTACCCCCAGCTGTTTAGCCCCAAAGAAAATCACACATAGATCTCTATAAATTATAAGCTGGTTGGCCCATTAGCCGTAGCCTCTCATTGGCTAACTCTCACATCTTGATTAACCCATTTTTCTGATCTATGTTAGCCATGTGGCTCAGTACCTTTTTTCAGTGGGGCAGATCACATCCTGCTGCTTTGGTGATCTAGGCAGGAGTGGGAGGAATCAACTTCCTCCTTCCCAGCCTTCAACTTCCATTTACTCTGTCTCTTGTTAGAGTTCATTTTCAACGCCACACTTTCTAGAACTTTAATTAAGAAGTTCTCAACTGAAAATTGGAATAACCTGAAAATTGTCCCGCACCTCTGTTCTGCCAGCTACTGAGAGGGAAGTGTTAAAGAGGTGACGCTCAAGAAGAAAAAGGTGGCGAAACAGCTTCTCTCCACTCTGCTGTGAACTTTTCCTCTCGCTAAAACCTTCAAGAAATGACAACACGCTGAAGTGCTGTAAATTTCTAGATACTTCCACTCAGTTCCTGTGACTGCCTTGTTGCAGACTGGCCTGAGAAGCTTGCGAGGCGCTTTGATTGTCAGTTTTGGGGGGCTTTGTCCTATCATCTCTTTTTTTGCTTTATCAATTCGCAAGCTATTATATAGTACGCATACAAATTTTGACCATTCTGCCTTCCTCATAGACTAATCATGTTACTATGAAATGTCCCTTCTTATTGAGCCAGAATCCTTCCCTTAAAGTCTACCTTATCTCACATTAGTGAAGCTATATCAGCTTTCTCTGTTAATACGAATGTGTAAGATTTTTTCTGGCCACGTGGGGCCTTTTAAAAATTGTCTTCTGTCAACACATATATAATTTTTGTGCACTCTAACAATGTTTGTCTTGTGGCTGAAACCCTTAGTTCATTTACATGCAATGTAACACATTATTGGTTTGTTCAAGAGATAAACTTGTTTAGTGTTTGAAGAACCTGAAAACATGCCAGACTCTTAGTGAAATGGAGCATTAAGTTCCACTATCACTGCTCCAAAGTCAGCCAGCACCTGTCTCAGTTTCACGTTATGGTTTGGATCTGAAAGATCTCCATTTGCTCACACGTCTAAACATCTAATACCCAGCCAGAGGCAGTTTGGAGAGATTGGCTAGCAGACAGGAGTCACTGGAGAAACTTTGAGACTTACAGCCCAGCCTTGTTGCTCTTAGTCCTGATGTCTCCTCTGCTTCCTGGTTTGCCATGATGTGAACAATCCACAAGCTCCTGCCATCAAACAGTGAGGCATGACGTCACACCTTCCCTACCGTGATGAGCTGTGTTCCCTGAAACCGTGAGCCAAAATTAATTCCTATTTCAAACTGCTTTTGAATATTCATCATCTAGTATGCAACAGGCCCTCCATAAATGCTCATTGATTGTGAATGAATACATATTTACACTGTTAGAAAACCTCATGGTGGCTTGCTGATACAAACACAAGCACCATTTCAGGACCTAGATCTTGGCCTTTTAGTGGATCTAAACTCTCCAGAGACCAGTTCATGGATGAGTGGCTGACTGGTAACACACAGATTTGGAGTGTGGTTTTCTACCTCTTCTGAGGATAAGGACGATCAATGATGTGAAGTCACACAAGGAAGAATTTCAACAGTCTTATGCTTCCTCAAAAGTGGAGACCCCATGATCGTACTCAAATGTGTATAGGCATCCCGACCACACACACAAACACTGTAAGAAGATATAAGGAAGGCCAGGCGGTGGTGATGCACACCTTTAATCCCAGCACTCGGGAGGCAGAGGCAGGTGGATCTCTGTGAGTTCGAGGCCAGCCTGGTCTAGAAGAGCTAGTTCCAGGACAGGAACCAAAAGCTACGGAGAAACCCTGTCTCTAAAATACAAAAAAAAAAAAAAAAAAAAAAAAAAAAGATATAAGAAAATCTTATTTTCAGTTATTCGTTGGGACTACTTAAGCCATTAACAATCTTGTCCTTAAGGTGAAAGGTCTGGGGGAGGTAGATGGCTCAGTGGGTAAAGTGCTTGCCTTGAAAGCAAGAGGATGAGAGTTCAGATCCTCAGAACCTACATAAATGCCAGCTGGGCAGTGAACTCTGGGTTCTACTTAGAGACTCCCTCAAAGAGTAAGAGTAAAGGAGGTGGGAAGATGGCTCCAAGGCTCGGAGCGCTTGCTGCTCTGGCAGAGGACCAAGGTTCAATTTCCAGGGCCCATATGGTGGCTCACGACCATCTGTAATTATAGTTCCAGGGACCCAGTGCCCTCTTCTGGCTCCTGCAGGCACCAGGCATGCATGTGGTACCCATACAGACGGACAAACAAAACAGAGATCCATACAAATACACCGTTAAAGAATAAAGAATAAAAAGGAAGAGCGACTGAGGATGAGTCCCAGCATCAGCCTCGGGCCTCCACATGGATATGTACACATATTATGAGCACCTGCATACACAGCTGTGCCCACACATATTCAAACATACATATACACATACATGATATAACACAGAGAGAGAGATAAGGGAAATAAAACAGAGAGAAGCAAAGGTTCCTCTCTGGCTGTGGTTTGTACTTTGTAGTTTGCATTATAAATGCTGGATGTTGACTGTTCATGATAGCTCACACCTGTATCCTTGCACTCAGGAGCCTGAAGCAGGATTGATGTGATTTGCAGGCCAGCCTGGGCTACATTATGAGACTCCATCTCTGCAAAAGGAAAATAAATTCTGGAAGCTGAGAGTTTTGTCTCTAGGTTTGTTTTTAATTCCAGGAACCTGTAGAAATAAACCTTCTGCTATTATGGGTAAAGAGCTGGATGTTTTTGTGGAAGGAGTTGGCAGGCTTATAGAGAGAAGTGTTTGTTGTTAAGTCATGAGGAAGAATTACTGATCAGTAGTCAGAAAACTGAAAAGGGAGACGGAACGGTGAGCTCGTCAGTGGTCACGTTCAGTTTGCCAGCAGGAAGATTTGAATAGGTTCCAGCATAGGAAAACAAAACCTGCAGCCTTCCAGCCCCGTTTCTAGGCCAGTGATGTCCTCAGATGGAAGAGTGAGACTTACCTCACTTCATCCTCTGCCGGGAAAAGCTTACAGGATATATTACTCAGTAAGGCTTTGGTTCGATGGTGGAACGTGTATTTATACTGAAAAACAAAACAAAGCAAACAAACAAAAAACTAGCCTTGTTTAGGACATTATCCCCGAGTTTAGAGATCTTAGAGAAAGAACATTTGCCTCCGTACATAAAGGAGCCAGATCGCTCTGCTGCACAGCCCTGTGTGGGTCCTGAACTCACCCTGTGTCGGTGTCAAGGCAGTATCGGCCCGACGACTCTAATCTCCTGTCCTTTCTCACTGTAGTTTCTTCAGGATGATAAAATGGAGAAGCTTGATGAGATTGTCAAAAAGTACCCTTGTGCCTTCCCCTGCTGGGTAGGGCCCTTCCAGGCATTTTTCTACATCTACGACCCAGACTATGCAAAGATATTTCTGAGCAGAACAGGTAAGAAATGAGACAAAGCTCAGAGTCCTAATCCTCCAGGAGTGAGCTGCACATGGCCCACAGGCCTGATCTGAAGCAAAGATTAGCCCTGGGCCTGGAAGAGACCCTGAACGAGTATGGAGAGGGGTCAGATCTACAAGGGTTAAGGGACTTCCCAGATACCCCCACCCCAGTTCCTTGACCCAGGGCCCCATAAATCCCAGCTGCCACCACCAGCCTGGCCAGGGGCTACCTTTGTCTCCTTGGTTTTGGAACTTTTGAGTCAACAACCCTGCTTCACACACTCTTCATGATGAACAAAAGTCTCCAGTGGAAATCAGAAGCCTGCCTTACCAGTCCGAACTCTTGGTTATGGTTCAAGAGGTTCTGTTCCTTTGAAAAGCATAGGTCCCTCCTCCCCCACCCACCCAATCCATTTACATATTCCTATTATGCATAGCACAAAGCCAAAATGGCCAGTTTGAGCTCTGCCACCTTTGTGAAGATCTCACATCTAATCTTTCCTGGGTTTCACATTCCTCACCCTTAAAAAAACCCAAGTAAAACAGACCTTTCTCTGAGCAGCTCTGTGTTCCTCTGTCTCTCTGCTCCAGTCTGTCTAGAGTTCATCTCTTCAGAAGAATATATTTACGTTTGAATCACAAGAACATTAGAGGCCCTTGTGTCTCACTGTCTCATGTTTTCCAACAAGCATATATGTCCCAACCCCCATTCTGAAACTTGTCCACCCCCAAGCAAGCCTGCATTGTTGAGGGAAATAGAAACCAGGAGAGGATATGAGCTTAGGTTCTGGGACTTGTTCTCTGGAACAGAACCAAGATTTGGGTTTTCCAAGCCTCCAAGGTTGTAGAAAGTGACCTGGGGTTCCCTGCTGTCCACGGTCTGCACTGAGTACAGGCAAATGAAGAAAGCCTTCCCCGGCTTGAACTGGTCATGATTGTTTTCCCTAATGCTGCCTTTTCTTTCCTCTGCTTGATTCTGCAGACCCAAAGAGCCAGTTTGTGCACCAGTTCACGACTCCATGCATCGGTATGTATGTGCCAGCCACTCCCACGCCAAGCCACTTTTCCATAGCAGAGCATTCCAAAGAGACTCACATCCGAACTCCAAAGCATCAAGAAAGGACATCAAATGCATATGACATGAATGCGGAGTGAGGGATCATCTAGGAGGAGAAAAGGAACAAGCTAGAGGGAGGCAGGGGATACAAGGGGTTAGGGTGGGGGCAGAGGGAGGAGGAAATGAGTGAGCCCAAAGGATAATGACGCATAAATATGAAAATGCCATAAGGAAAATCAATGTTTTGTATTCTCACCTAAGAATATCATTTTTAACATTTAAAAATAGAATATGGAGACCTGAATTCAACCCACCTCTAAAAGGGGGCATGACGGTGAGCTCTTGTATTCCCAACAGAGGGAAGACAGAGCAGGCAGGCGCCAGGCTGGCCAGTCAGCCTAACTATTTGGTGACTTCCAACCTACTGGGAGCTCCTATCTCAGTTTAACAAAAAAGCAAACAGTGGATGATACATGAACACACGTTCTAAAAAGTAAGATAGATCTATGAGGAGAGCTACCTAGGAGAAGGTCAAAGGGGACCCAAAGGTCAACCCAGCAGAGCGTCACACAGCACCCTTGTCCGTTTCTTTTCTCAAAGTCCCATTTTCAAGGGGAAAATGTGTGCAAACTCTTCCACATCTTAGCTTCACTATGGAAGGTATTTAATCTTTTCACCTCTCTTGTTTTCTTTATTTTCCTTTACAGAGTTCTCTCTCTCTCTCTTTTTTTTTTTTTTTTTTTTTTTTTTTTTTTTTGATTTTTCGAGACAGGGTTTCTCCGTAGCTTTTGGTTCCTGTCCTGGAACTAGCTCTTCTAGACCAGGCTGGCCTCGAACTCACAGAGATCCACCTGCCTCTGCCTCCCGAGTGCTGGGATTAAAGGTGTGCGCCACCACCGCCCGGCTCTTATTTTTTTATATGCCTTTCAGTAAAAAATTTTCCCTGGTGTGCCGTTTGACTCTACCCTGTGAGCAGATAAATTAGGCTGCTTTCTCATGTAGTTGATGGTTTATTTTAGACTGGAAAGAACTTAAATGAAAAAAGAGAGGCTTTGGGTTCGAAGCCTGTTAGATTTGCATGCTACTATTCACTTTAGTAGACTACACGATCTTAGGGACAGAATCGCTCTATGACTTCCTCATCTTTGAAATGAGCACTGCTCATTTGAAATGTCACTGCTGAGATGAATGCTGTATTCCCAGTGCTTTATGCAGTGGCCAGCATTCTAAGAGAACCAAACCAGGCATCCAGATCCTGGCAATTTATAAGCACACAAAAAGGATACCATTCATAAAACCCCAGCACTGAAAGCTGGAAATGAACACAAAGCCCCACCCAAATTAATGCCTGCTGGAAAAGGGAAAACCAGTTTTCTCCAATGGCATGTCACTGGGTTATATCAACCGCAGTCCGGGAAAGACCCCATGCCCAGGAGCAGTGGACCAAGACAAAACGGGCTCCATGGTTTATGGTACACTTTGTTTTGATCTAGTTTTGTCTTATTTATTTTGTTTTTGTATGTTTTGACTTTTATTTTTTGTTTTTCTTTTTTGAGAGAGAGAGGAAAAATATAATGTCGGGTGGGCAGGGAGGTAGGAAGGATCTAGGAGAAGCTCGGGAAAGTGAAAGAATATGATCAAACTACATTGTATGAAAAATGTTAATAAAAATATTTTAAAGGTTGTCATTCAAATTTAAAGTCCTTGGAAAGCTAGATGTTTTAAGATGTATTTTATTTTTATTTATGTGTTTTTATGTGTGCAAGTTTGTGTGTCTGTTTGTATGTGCTCATGTGTATAGTTGTCCGTGGATGCCAGAACAGAGGGTTGGATTCCCGGATCTGGAGCTGCATGTGGTTTGAACCACCCAGTGTGGGTGCTGGGAACTGAGCACCAATCCTCTGCAGCAGCAGCAAGTATCTCAGCCACTGAGTCATCTCTCCAGCCCCTGAAAGCCAAACCTTAATGTCAGCACATTTGGCAGTGGGAGATTGTGAAATACCAGCCTCGATAAGTGTTTTCACAAACCAGAGCTCAAGAGGAGGCTATCTGGGATCAGATGGATGTCCTTGCCTTGTTTCTGATGAATCTGTGTTCATAGTAATATTTATAGATTGGTCTGCAGCAAGGAGAAGGTGGATAATTCTCACGTTTCTACCATGAGCTAAGGACGGACTGGGTTGAGTGCCTTATGTGTGTGTCCTCATTGAGACACACAGATTACCTACCACATTCCATTGCTGAGAAACCACACCTCACCAGGCATCAGAGCTTCTCGGGCTGTGGAACACTTTCTCTCAGTGATAAATGCACCCACTCCAGGTATAGGCATCAAAGCTGACACCGTCTTCACCTGTCATTCACTTGGCATTCACTACCTCTTCATGACTGCCTGTGGCCCGCATCTCTCCTCGTCTAGCAAATGCATGAGGCTTTGTTCATTTTCTTTCCCAAGGACGAGGACTCCTGAATCTAGATGGACCCAGGTGGTTCCAACACCGCTGCCTCCTAACTCCTGCGTTCCATGACGACATCCTAACAACCTGTGTGGACGCGATGGCCCACTCTGTGAACACGATGCTCGTAAGTGAAACATTAGATTAGACACTTCTGTAGTGGGTTAAGAAAAATCAAAGCCGATTTCTAGAAATCAATCAGAATACAAGTACCCACTGAGTAGTAATGTCTATGGTGGCCTTTCCTGAATTCTTCAGGTGGTTAAAAAAAGAAGAGATGGTTCCCTGTCTTAGAGTCTCGCATTCTCTGGTGCTAAGACTCAGGTCGCAGGTGCTGTGGAGACAGGTAAGGAAGCCAAGAGCAGCTAACTGGCTCAGACTTCAGAGGTAACTCAGATCCATACCCTATAAGCTGATCTGCCCATGTCAATAGTAAGAACAAGAAACTCCTAGGCAGAGCGGTGTGAGACAAGGATTGAGGCTGAAGTGGACTGGACTTGGCTGTGGGCATAAAGGACTGAGTGAGTGTTCACCTCTCATAGGTGGGGCGGGATCTTGAGGTGAGTGGCACCTTCCAAAGAGTCAGGAACAGCTGCAGAGGGGCATCCCTGTTGAGGTGGCTTCTGCTTTAGAAATGAGTTTTATTGAAAGTTCTATTGGTGGAGAGATTTTCACTTTTTTAATGTATTTATTTTAAAAGCGGACACATAATTAATACAGTTTTTTCGTAAACTTCAAATACCACAAAGCCAAGTTTTCCTCCTTACTGCAAGCCTTCCTTACTCCGTTCACGGGGAACAGGTGTTACCAGCTTGTGGCTGCGTGCCAACCTCTGTGGGAGTGGAGTGGGACACATCAGTGGGAGTTCTCAAGGCAGAGACTCCAGGGTCGAGGAAGGGGGTCAGATGGAGAGGGCATCCTCCTCAGCGCCGGTCAGTGTCTGGCACAATTCAGCTCCACCCGTGCCCGTTTTAGCCCCAGCACATCTAGGAGCCATTTCTAGCCTCTATGTTCCTGTGTGTTTCTCTGCGTTCCTCTCGCACCGCCTCCTGCTGCACGTGTCCAGAGCACCTCAAACTCAGACGCCTGCCCCTCCCCTCGTTTCTTCCAAACCCACCACAAGGCTCATCAGCTCTCCTCAAATGCCTGAGCGGAAGTATCGCACTGAATTCTATTAATAAGTACAACAAATACATGTTCATCCAAAAACTTGACTCTTACAGGGCTAACTGTTTAGTTGTAAGCCATCCAACCAAATAATAGACACTAGGGTGAAAGGCTTTCAAATTCTGCTTTTCATTCCGTCTCCGACCATTCGGGACCCAGTTTGTCACCTGTAGGTACTCAGCATTCGGCTCCGAGGTGACACCTGTAGATGCTCAACAAACAGAATGGACTAAATTTTAACATTTCCATTTATTTGCATTTTTACACACAAAAAAAATTGCTTGTTGTGATAAATGTATTTTTAACTGGGGGTGCGAGCCTTTTGGCAACTTAGCTGTCAGAAAACGCACTTCAGGCTGTGTGAGGAGCTCCTGTCTGTGGGGACATTAGAAACAGCGCCCTGCAGCAACTCTTCTTCCAGGCCTCTTTTGGTCCCCAGTGTCTGGATATGAAATGTTTTTTGATTGCTTTTATTTTGGATTATTTTTTCTGTTGTTTTTCAAGACAGGGTTTATCTGAGTAGCCCTGGCTGTCCTGGGACTCACTCTGTAGACCAGGCTGTCCTCAGACTCAGAGATCCTTCTGCTGCTGCCTCCCAAGTACTGGGATTAACGGTGTGTGCCATCACTGCCAGACTTATTTGCAATTTTTAAATTAAATATTATTATTTCATTCCCTTTCTTCTCCTCCTCTCAACCCTTTTCGTGCTCCCCCTTGTTCCTTCCTAAATTTATGACCTCTTTTTCTTTAATAGTTATTGTTACATGTCTATATAAATGTACAAATATAATGCAACCTTTTAGTGTGGGTTGTATGTATGTGCTTTCAGGGCCAACCACTTAGTATCGAATAACCATGTAGGGGGTCTAATTCTCCTCTCTTATCTCTCATTAATTGCTTGTAGCTCTTCATCTAGGTTTGCGGCCCCAGATCTTCCCCTTCCACGTTAGCATGCTTGTTGGTATTGTTGATTACTGTATATAAGATGTTTTTGGAAAATGTTCTGAGTTTATCGAAGTGGGGGGGGGTTGAGAGCAGTGATGGGATATCTAACAAGCTGGGGGTTGGAGGTAGAGCAAGCCCTGGGGGAACCCCATGCATTGCAGTCTTAATTAGGGGGTGTGTGGAACTCTGTGCTGTTTGGTGCAGAGCCATGACAACCCCTGAGAGACCATTTGCCAGATGTGAAGTGTGCATCACGCTCTTTCTCACTCACTTCGTGTGTGTTTTCCCTTCCTTGTGCCCAAAATAAACACATGGATTATTTACTCCTGGTCTTTGGTTCCTGTAGGGTCAGGGTTTTTGTCCCCGAGATGATAAGAGCAGGTTTAGGGAAAAAGCAGGCAAATAAAGACCATTTGATGATGATGATGATATTGATCTTGGCCTCCTCTGCCAGGATAAATGGGAGAAGATCTGGAGCACTCAGGAAACAACCGTGGAGGTTTTTGAACACATCAACTTGATGGCCTTGGACATCATCATGAAATGCGCTTTTGGCCAGGAGACCAACTGCCAGATAAACGGGTCAGTGACGGGGCATTAAATGAGTTCTCTGTGATCTAAGTCAATTATTAACCCGTTGTTCCAACTCTTTCTTCCAGCACCTATGAGCCTTACATGAAGGCAACATTTGAACTTGGCGAAATCATATCTTCTCGCTTGTACAACTTCTGGCATCATCATGACATAATTTTCAAATTCAGCCCTAAGGGCCACTGCTTCCAGGAGTTAGGCAAAGTGATCCATCAATGCACAGGTATAAACATGGGCCAGTCTCATCTGTGGGTCACCCAAATCCATGCACCATCATGCCTGTCTTATATGTAGAAGGATAAGTCTCACAGTAAGTAGGAAGTGAATTCTTGTTCTTAATGGAGCTTTAATATGGACTCTGCTCAAAGAATTACAACTTTAATTACCTTTAAGGTAAGTTTGCACCTCACCATTATGTCTTATGCAATTTTGTTATATGCAATTATTACAAGTACATATATAACAAGGGAAAAATTTAAGATTTTAAAATGCACATGGCATGTGGCTTCCTTAGCAGTAAATTAAGTAATAATCGCAAGCTAAAATGCTGGCACAGAACAGGCATAGAGGAAAAAGGAGATGTGGGTGTGTATTCAAGACACCCAAAAGCTTTGCATGGTAGTGTGTACCTTTAATCCCAACATTCAAGAGGGTGAGTGAGACAGGTGATCTCTGTGAGTCTGAGGCCAGCCGGATCTACATGACGAGTTCCAGGACAGCCTGGAATTTTGCCATGTGAGTATTGGGAATCGAGCCTGGGTCCTCTGGAAGAGAAGAAGCCAGTGCTCTTAACCACTGAGCTATTAGTCCGGCCCCAACAATGGGTTTGTGGGCAGTTTCACGGATGTTCACAGTTTTGACCACGTTCATTCCCACATTTCTGTCTCCTGGCCTCCCTCTCCTGCTGAAGGCCCTCTTTCCAGCTACTCTCCCTCCTACTTCCATGACCTATTTTTTGCAACTTGCTGAGCTTAATTAGTTTTGTTTCCATGAGCATGGGTGAGGAGCTAAATTCTTGACACACAGAAAATGTTTTTAAAAATCAAAATATACTACTCGGCTTACTTCCATCCAAAATTCATTAAAATTTATATGAAATGGTAAATTCAAATACAAAATTGACCCCAATTAAGACAGAAAACAAATTTCTGTAAAAGGTGCATGTCCATACTCTATCTGCCCCATGTTCTGTTTCTGTCTGTTTGTTTGCTTGCTTGCTTGATTGCTTGCTTGCTTGCTTGCTTTTGGACCCTTTAGCTATATATGTGGGGTGTTTTCTCTGATGGCTATTTCATTGGATATTTTCCATGGAAACAAGATTTGAAACTGAAGAGGAAAACGGTGATGGTCCTTTGTATCTCACTTAGTGATTATCTTGAGTACATTGTTTGCCTACTGATAGAAACTAAGTTTCATCTCTTCTGTGTGAAACTTCTGTTAAAAGTGGTCTGTTGGTGAAAAATAAACCACCCATGCAAGTTTAATGTATTTAGATATAATATGTCCCCTCTGGCCTCTGAGAGCAGATAAGACATTACACTTTGTGTAGGCTCTGCCTTGCTTTATAATGTATTTGGTTGTGATTGACTTAGCTGTCCCTTCGGTAATGAATACCTTTAATTCTATGCAGAAAAGATAATCCAGGACAGAAAGAAACTCCTCAAGGATGGAGTAAAGCAGGACGACACTCAAAAGTCTCAAGATTTTCTGGATATTGTCCTTTCTGCCCAGGTAAATGCACCAAAAGTCTAGGTCCGCTCACACAGCTTGCCAGCCATGTGGGAGGGAGGAGGGTGGATAGGCAAATGAAATTGAAATGGAAAGACAGAAGAAACACACCTTCTCTGCTAAATGCAAACTGTAGAGTGTTGTGGGCCATGGCTCTTGGTGCAGTCTGGAAGAAAGACTGAAACCTGTAATTCACCAGGAATCAGAGAAGACTGAATATCTATCTGTTTGCTATGATTTGGAAGCTATACAGATACCAGGGGTTTAGAGACTTAGGGGAAAAATGGAAACATGGATGAGCAAACCCTTTCAAAAGAAAATGTTGAAAAATTCGATACATTTGAAAGGGTGAAGAAATTTTCCAAGTGCTTATGCAAAGCCTGCTTTCCTTTTGGCTCTGAGCAGAATAGGACTTGTCGTATGTGTTTGATAAACTGAACTAAAAATTGAAACCTTTAGTTGAAACTCTAGCGTTTCTATAAAACTATCATTTGGTTGGTGTCTCCAAACATCTGTGAAGTTTGGAAATCGTGACATTTCATTCCACTATCTCTGCTGCCTGTTGTAGGCTGAAGATGAAAAAGCCTTCTCAGATACTGACCTGCGATCTGAGGTGAACACCTTCATGTGGGCAGGGCACGACGCCTCTGCAGCCAGCATCTCCTGGCTTCTCTACTGCCTGGCTCTGAACCCTGAGCATCAAGACAGATGCCGGACAGAGATCAGGAGCATTTTGGGAGACGGGTCTTCCATCACCTGGTAAGATCTGCAGCCCTCAGTAAGTCATCCTAGCACTCCTTTTGAGGCTGTGCTTATTTCTTACCCTGGTGCCTACTGACCACAGGATCCCAGGGTATGTGTATGCCAAAGCCCAGTAAGCAGGCTACTTGTCTCTTCTTTCTGAAAAGAGCCCCATGTTAGCCTTATCCTCTGCAAAGGAAGTTCACTATCCAAAAATCGCCCAACACTATTTTTTTCAACACAATGTTGCATTTGTTTTGCTTTTTGTTCTACAGATTCACAGTAGATGGCCAGGTCAAGCATTGTCTCACACAAAGATATGTTTGTCTGTGTAATCACTGCTGCTGGGAGGATCCAAATGGAGAACCTCCTAGCCTATCACCTTGTTGACTATCCCATTTCTTTTTATTAACTAAACTTGGGAGATTATGATGTCTGTTTCAATGCTCCATTTTGTCTGTTGTAGATACTTAAAAAAGAAAATAAAGCTAGGCGCAGTGGTACATGCCCTTAATCCCACAGGACAGGTAGATCTTTGTGAGTGTGAGATCCCCATGGTTTATATAGTGAGTTCCAGGACAGCCAGAGCTACATAGTGAGACAGGTCTCAAAAAAACAAAACAAAAGGAGAAGGAGGAGGAAGAGAAAAAGAAGAAGAGGGGAAGGAGAAGGAGAAAAAGAAGAAGAGAGGAAGAGGGGGAGGGGGAGGAGGAGAGGAGGAGAAGAGAAGAGAAGAGAAGAGAAGAGAAGAGAAGAGAAGAGAAGAGAAGAGAATGCATGTGTTGGCTTTTCTCATTCTTAATTGATCTAAATTTGAAAACAGTAATTGAGTCCCGGCCAGGTGAAAAGCCTAAAGTCCAAAAGATCTGTTAACTATTCTCTCTTTTAATGGAAGAAAGAGAAAAAAATACTACAAAGAGCACATTTTTAAAGATTTTGTTTTGTTTTGTTTTTGAGACAGGGTTTTTCTGTGTAACAGCCTTGAAACTCACTCTGTAGACAAGGCTGACCTCAAACTCACCTGCCTCTGCCTCCTGAGTGCTGGGATAAACCACCACTACCCAGCACAAAGATTAATTATTTTTTTAAGAATGTGGATGGGAGTGTCTTGTGAGGGTATAGGCACGTGAGTGCAGGTGCCGCAAGTCCAGAAGAAGGCGTCAAATCCTCTGAAGCTGGAGTGGTTGTGAGCCACCAACACGGATGCTGAGACCTGAACTCGGATCCTTTGCAAGAGCAACAAGCACCCTCAACTGATGAGCAATCTCCAGCCCCAGAACCATTAAAATAAAACTCTATACATACCTATTATTTTCATTAATGAAATTTACATGTGACATTCAGAATATTTTAAGCAATTTCTCTCTTTGACTTCTTGTTAGTCCATTTCTATGTTAGTTTAAAATCCTTTGCTTGTAGGCAGTGGTGGCGCACACCTTTAATCCCAGCACTGGGGAAGCAGAGCCAGGTGGAGCTCTGTGAGTTCAAGGCCAACCTGGTCTACAAAGAGAGTTCCAGGACAGCCAGGGAGGGAGAAACCCTGCCTTGAAAAACCAATAATGATGATGATGATGATCTTTGCTCAGGAAGATTTATATAAGTTCAAGGCCAGACTGGTCTATTCAGAGAGCTCAGGCCATTGAGGGCTATGTTGTGGGAATTTTCTGTCCCACCAGCCAGTTCCCAAATAACCACACAGAGACTTATTATTAATTATAAGTGCTCAGCTGATAGCTTAGGCTTATTACTAACTAGCTCTTATGGCATAAATTTACCCATCTTTCTTAACTACATTCTACCATGTGACCGTGTACCTTTCCTCCGCATGGCATACTCATCTTGCTTCTCTCCGCGTCTCCTGTGAGTCTGCCCTTCCTCATCCCAGAGCTCTCTCCCTGTTCACAAGTTCCACCTAACCTCTTCCTGCCTAGTTATTGGCCCTTTAGCTCTTTACTAATTCAGTGAGAGCAACATATCTTCGCAGCACACAAAGAGATTATTCCACGACAGAAGGCTACATAGTCAGACTGTCTCAAAACAACAACAAGGGGGCTGGAGAGATGGCTCAGTGGTTAAGAGCATTGCCTGTTCTTCCAAAGGTCCTGAGTTCAATTCCCAGCAACCACATGGTGGCTCACAACCATCTGTAAAGTGGTCTGGCGCCCTCTTCTGGCCTTCAGGTATACAGAATATTGTATATATAAAAAATAAATATTTAAAAAAAAACAACAATTTTTCTTTTTGTTCACATTGATATGGGTAAAGTTGTGTCTCTTAATTATGTAAGTGCCAGAGTAGACACAATTGCCCATTTCTTTCTTGGCCTTGATGGGGAAAGAATACAGAATTAAAATTTTACGTTTTTCAATGGCCAATACCCTCATTAAAGTAATTTATCAGAAAAAGAAACAGAGATGTGATCAGACAGAAATGACTAAATACACGTAGTCATTTTCCTGATCTCACAGCTAGTTATACAGATAAACCATTTCATCCTTTTCCTGTTCTCACTTCAGACTTGCTCTGGGGGAAGAGTTCTTTTCATCTCAGAGGCAAAAATCTTAAGGAGTCTCCTGGAGTCCCATCTACTGAAATCACAAGCCACTCTCAAGCCAGTAGCTAGCCTATCTAGCCCAGAGCACTGACAAATCGCCACTCACGTGCTTGCCCACCTGGAACCTCTCTCTCTGCCCCTCCTTGGCCCTTTGACTTGGAAGCCAGTAGAGTGAGAGGAGTTTGTTGTTGGCTTGTCTTATTGGCCAACTTCTCCCCAACCCAAGACTCTGACTGTGTCAGAGATGATTCCCGTGTGAAAGGAAACTGTCATGGTCATGTCAAACACTTTGTGCTTTTCTCGTCTCTCGGTCATTCCATCTGCTGGTATCTTGGAGACTCTTTTTCTGGAACTTTCTAGTGCTGATTCATGGGGCAGGGGAACTCTGGAAACAGTGTTTCTCCAGCTGATCTGGGGCTCTCCCTCCTCCTGCTCAGCTCACTGACTGCCCAGATACACCTGTGCATCCCTACCTCGTTCAGCTGATCTCCCTGCCAGTCTGTCTGCTCTGAGTCACCTGTGATTGGTTCTGTGCTTCCCAAAATCCGAGGAAGCACATACCAAATCCTCTATGTAGCCCGAAGTCAGTCTCCCCCTGTTTAGGATGAGTAGCACCTGACTCTGTTTTCCAAGGTACTTCAATATTTCAACAATTCTCTTTACATAATTTTTTCTCCAACTTCTTTTGCCTCTTGTTCAGTCTTTAGCTGTGCCTTATACGTTCTTCCATTATGTGAAAAGCTAAGGTTTGCAGCGCTGCTTGTCAGAAATCCTGTTGTTAAGCACGTGGCGTCGGTGTGTCTGCCCCCTCTGGGACTTCCGTTGACATGGTGACAGAAAAGATCACATTTTAACAATATGCTGTATAAACCCAGACGAAATCACTTTACCCCAACAGTGGCACATGCTAGGAAAAGTGATCAAATAGAAAACAGTCAATACAACGTGGGTCTGGTGTCTCTGTCACTTCTCTCCTTTGTCCTCACAGGGACCAGCTGGATGAGATGTCATACACCACAATGTGCATCCAGGAGACACTCCGTCTGATTCCGCCCGTCCCATCCATCTCCAGAGAACTCAGCAAGCCCCTTCCCCTCCCAGATGGACACTCACTGCCTGCAGGTCTTCACATTCTCTTCCTAACCCTGAGATCCTGAAGGGGACAGTGATGAGGACTATTGGGATTTGGGGCTTCTTGGGATGTCTGGTAGCCTGGGCAGCTACTAAAAGCTCAGAGGATACTTCCTTGATCCTTTGTGAGCCTCAGTGACCTTCCTAAGCCACATAGCCAGTTAGAGCTGTGAGGTTCCAGTCTCATTTTGAGAAACCTAGCCAAGGGTTTCATCTTTTGTGACATTGTCTCTAAGATAATCTTTGTGAGACCCAAGTGTGTCTGGACAGGAGAGGAGCACCATTGTGTTAGTGTAGGAGACAGGAAGGGGAGTCCTTATCCCCACACCAACTTAGAAGCGGACAATACTTAGCCTGTATAGAACCTTCAAATACATTGTCTCATGTCCCCCTTGGAATGTAATCTTAACAGACATGTGTTCAGTACTTTATAGTTTACAAAACACTTGTGAATAGTTTTGATATCTCCAAAGACCCATTGGGAAAACCCCACTATGTATATAAGGTTCACAGACGAGAAGCAAAGTTAGAACCTCTAGTGACCCTGTGTGTGAAGTCAGACGTCTCTGCGCAGGGCACATAGGTGGCAGCAGAATCACATGAGATGTCATTTCCCTTGTCTGCTTTCGTGTCCACAGGTCAACAGGAGAGCTGAGGGCAAAGCCTGCAACCTGTGGCTGTCATTTTGTGGACAAAACCAGAATTATTTTTGGATAAGAAAATGATGCTCAAACTCCCTCTTCTTTGCCTTTTATTGTTTTAACCACCAACCATATGAATATGTGCCCAAATGTTTAACCTTTCACAGATGAACAGTGCCAAGAGAAATTAGCCTCTGGATCTTCAAGGCAGAACAGAGCAGTCCCTGTGGAGTGCTGCCTAGATGCTAGATGTTAACAGTAATTCAAAGCAAGGCAGAAACCTCAAGTACAGTTTAGCTCTTTGGCCAGATACCAACGACTCCTTAGTATAAAATTATGAATATGGTAAATAATTGCTTTGAAAACTACAGTTCAAGCCCAAGCCCGTTCTCCCCGCGTCCTTCCCTGGTGGAGCGTTGGCACTCAGGTCAGCGGGAGGACATCTTCCCGCACACCCCAGCAGTTTTCTCTGTTTCCCTCCTGCCCCAGGAATGACTGTGGTTCTCAGCATTTGGGGTCTCCACCACAACCCTGCCATCTGGAAAGACCCGAAGGTAAGATTTTCTTCTGTGGACTGCTTTAGAGAGTGGTGCTGAGTGATTGCTGTGTTGATAGTTAAGCCTGAAAAGGGCTGCACTGTGAACGTAAATGTGTAAGGCTCACCGGCTAACGACCTTGTCCTCGCCTCATATCCTTTATCTTTATTGCCATCTAAAGACCTTAGTCCCAACTGTCACTGCCTGTATTTCAGTCACTCGCCTGTCAAGCTCTTTTGAACACCTAGTAGATTTCTGCAGGTCCGCAGCTCGTCAGTAGAGCAAAGTGGGCAGCTCAGCGTCTCTTTTATTGTATGAAGCAATCGGGATCCTGGCGATATTAATGGCACATTTCTGTTGCTCAGTTCAAATGTTCCATAAAGGAACTGTTTGTGAAGATACGGGCAGAGTTTAGGGGAAGCAAATGAAAGTGGGTATCTTTTAGAATCATTAATCTTTTCTAGACCCGATGGACCCCAGAGCGGAGAGTTACACAGCCTGTAGGAGCTAGACAGGAAACATCAAACGGGCCCATGCGGAAGAGATATTGCCAGTCTAGGACAACCAGCAGGGAGGAGCCAGCCAATGAACAGTCAACACCCCAGACTCTCGATTGTCACCCTTCAGATCCCCATCAATGCCTTGTATTGTTCCAAACCATGTGGGTCAGCTCTCTAGAGCCCAGAAGAACCTCAGAAAGAGAGAAAGGAGGACCTGGACAGGCAAGGAGATGTGTAGAAAGCCTGAGCTGATTTGATATGCTTGAAATCCAAAACATAAGCACTAGTGTTTTCTTCTATTTAAACCACTAGGGCTTTCGATCTACTCTGTAGAATAGGAAGCTGGGAAATGATATCTCATTTGTGCTAAGTGGGTGCACTCTTAGACTGGCTAGCAGACAGGTCAGGAGAGGGCCTGATAACCCCTCCAGGTCTATAGAGCTGCTGTCCATGTGGCCACTAAGCAACTTGGCTAATTGGAATTGCAATATGAAGTTTGAAGATACAGCACCCCACTCAAAAGTGAAATATTTCCTTAATTATTTGTAATAAGTACATGATGGACTATTTTGTTTAATAAAATCTATTATTAAAATTAATGCTATCTTCTTAACATATGGCTTGCAGAACATTTTAAATATCTTCTTTGGCATATGTTTCTCTATCAGCACTAAGTATCACCTTAAAAGATGTGTATTTGTATTTGTTAAGCTGATGATGGTATTGTCTTCTCATTTCAGGTCTTTGACCCCTTGAGATTCACCAAGGAGAATTCTGATCAGAGACATCCCTGTGCCTTCCTACCATTCTCCAGTGGCCCAAGGTGAGGCCAAATTAAGCTGCTGAAAATATACACAGAAAGCTTATTTATACCCATTAGCCCCTCTGCTCCATTAATTCCTCCCAGAACCCATCTCTTCACAAAGGACAGTACCACTTAATGTCACATCCCCTGAGTCATGCCTGGGAAAATAAGCCTGTACTGTAAGTATCGTTCACAGGCTCAATGCTAGTAGGAGAAACAATTTGTGGGTGACTCCAGCTGCTGCCTTCTTCAGGGAGGGCATCACACTGAACCCTCCAACTCCACATTCTTGCAAGGAGCAACCTAAGAACATACTCTAAAAGTCTCCATGATATTTGGTGTGAAAACTCGGCTTTGTTCTGGTTGTGTAAGAGAACTTTTCTGGAAAAAAGTAACATAAACACATCTACTCACCCCAGAAAGATGACTCCCCAACAGATCACGATGTATTAGCGCCTAATTTAGTGAATCACTGGCTTTTTGTTGGGTTTACTAACAAGAGTGAAAAGTTGCTTATGGGAACATGGTGGCTCTAAAGATGCTGTGTCTCAGTTACTTTTCTCTTGCTGTGAAGAGACACCGTGACCAAGACAACTTGTAGAAGAAAGAATTTACCTGGGGTTACAGAGTTTGAGGGTGAATCCATGATTGTCATGAGAGGGAACATGGTGGCAGGCAGCTGGGCATGGTGCAGGAGCAGTAGCTGAGAATTTGCATCTGATCTGCAAGCACCAAGCAGAGAGAGAAAACTAACTGGGAATGGCTGAGCTTTTGGGTTTTTTGTTGTTTGTTTTTGTTTGGTTGGTTTTTATTTCCAAGACAGGGTTTCACTGTAGCTTTGGAGCCTGTCCTGGAACTAGCTCTTATAGACCGGGCTGTCCTCAAACTCACAGAGATCCTCCTGCCTCTGCCTCCTGAGCGCTGGGATTAAAGGCGTGAGCCACCACCCAACTAGTTGGGCTTTGGAAACCTCAAAAACTACCCCCTAGAGACACACATGCTTCAACAAGACACACCTCCCAGTCCTTCCCACACCATCCCATCAACTGTGGAGCAGACATCATCTTTATACATGAGCCTACTGGTGGTCTTGCTCAAACCACCACAAGCTGCTTCACCAAAAAGTCAAGTCCAAGCCAGTACAAGTGACCACTCACAAAAGCCGCAACCCTGGCTCTCTATGCACAACCTGGGCTGGTCTGAGAGATCTCTGGACAGCACAGCTGCTCCGTCTCCTCCCCAGGAGTTGTTTACTGTTTCTGTAACTATGGAGAGGGGCCCTCATGAATTTCCAAGTCACAGATTGTCCAGATGTGAAGTCCGTCCACCTCTGGAGTTTCTTGAGTCCTTTCCCTCCCTCATGGAGAAAATGTTTCACTCAGAGGAAACCTCTGAGCTTTCATAGACTCCAGACTTACTATTCTAGAAACTAACTCATTTCTCTCCCTCCACAGGAACTGCATCGGGCAGCAGTTTGCCATGCTGGAATTAAAGGTGGCCATTGCCTTGATTCTGCTCCGTTTCCAAGTATTTCCAGACCTCACCAGGCCTCCTGCCTTTTCCAGCCACATGGTCCTCAGACCCAAGCATGGAATCTATTTGCAACTGAAGAAACTCTCTGACTATTAGACACAAGGGGACAATGACTAAATTTCCTTCTGTTTTTAAGTTAAATTTATAGTCAATGACCCAGGCAAATGGAGAAGAATCTAAGTCTGATGGGAGAGATAGAGGGCTGTGGGTTTGGGCCTCTCTACAGCTGCACATTACCCAAAGACATTTTCAGGAAACACAGGTGACCCTGGATATGTATGACTTAGAGAGATTTTCAAATTATTTTCTAATGATTATTACTAAGTCTATCACTGGGTGACTTCTATATATTTTCTGTTTTTTTTAATAGTTTTCAGAATTATACAAATAACAGAAGAATGGATGTGTGCTGAATGCAAAATTTTTTTAGCACTGGAAAGTGTAGATAAAATGCCCTCTCTCCTGGGCTGCACCCCCTGACCTGACAAAGCCTACTGCTTTTGCTTAATGCAGAGTAATTTAGTGTGCATTTTTCCTGACTCTTTTCTGCATATTCCATATATAATGTCTGTGTGTGTTCTCAGACATCAGTAGTCCCCAGAGCCAGGTCACCTAGCTTCAGACCCTGACTCCTCCACTTAAGCTGGATGTCTCACTTTGGTCCAGTCTCTGGATGGAGACATGCTGTCCGTGCCTCAGTTTCCTCACTTGTAAAACCTCATAGGATGGCTATAAGATTTAATGAACACACACACACACACATAGTTTTTTTTTTTTTGAGTAGCTCCTAAGGAAGAGAAGGGCACCAGGCACTGTTCGCACACACCTTTAATCCCAGCACTTGGGAGGCAGAGGCAGGTGGATCTCTGAGTCCAAGGCCACCCTGGTCAACAAAGTGAGTTCCAGAACAGCTAGGGCTGTTACATATAGAAACTCTGTCTGAACAAACCAAATAAGTAAATAAACAAAATGTATACACACTTTTCTTTATGATTTTTTGGTTTTGAATCTTGAATAAGAAAGTCTAAATTTAGAATATTACAAAAGTAGTTTAAGTATGTTTCTGGAGCTAACTACTCTTATGAAGCCTGAATGGGGACTACTTAAAGATTTCTAAGTTCATCACTTGTTTGAAGCTAATCAGAGATTTGGGTGTGTTTTAAAGCCCTTTGAAAGGCTTTCAACCAGAGGTGGACCTAAGGTGAGCTGCATTTTAGGGAAGCTTTTTCTGGACACGATGATGCATACTTAAAACTCCAGCAAGAGAGCCATGCGTTCAAGACCAGCCTGTGCTACAAGAGAGAAAGAGGAGGGGGTAGTTTTGCTTCTGTTGCATGGATAATGAACATATTAGTGATAGATTGGAGAGGGTAAAAGTAGAAGCCAGAAGAAAGGACACAATTAGAAAGCTCAGACATGGACAAAAGTAGATGCTGCATACTTACCTGGTGAAAGAGACACTATAATCATGAAGGCTGTTTTCCCAGGGCAAGGCTCATCCATTGCGCTTCAGATGTGCTGACTTCCGTATCCCAAATGAGGGAAACTAGCCTTCGTAATTTATTGTAGTGAGAGACTGCACTCATGCTCTCCCAACAACAACAACAACAACAACAACAACAAAGATGGTGCTTGCCAAGGGTGGTGGCATGGTAGTGGGCCTTAGGGGAATGAATGTGCACGTGACTTTGATGGCATTTGGGAGAGTGAAGAGAACTTTTTGGTAGGCTGAAAGTGTGAATGAAGAGACAGAATCCAAGATTTGAGAAACTGACCAAGATTTGGACTTGACCAAGGATTGGACTGACCTGTCTTCCTTGGAACCAGCCTTCTCTCACCAAGCGTCCACCAGGCGTTTGCATTTCTGGACATTTTGATTATGGAGAAACTATAAGAAGCAGCTCTGCTACCAGGCAAAGGCACTAATAAACATGGGAGCATAGTGAAAGAAGGGATGGTTTGGGGAGGCAAAAAAAAAAAACCTTAATCAGACAGAAGACCCACCATCTCAGGTTTAATAAAATCCGTGTCTTAGCAATGATATTCAAAAAGATAAAGAAAATTTAGCCTTCAAATGCAATGACACCAAGAGCTTCCTGTAGAAACAAGGCAGGCTCGCATAGCACAGTTCCTGTGCTCCTTTTGTCTCCTCTGTGCCCACGTGCATAGCTGCGAAAGAGCACCAGCTACCTGGAGAATAATTCCGTTGCTTCGCTGTGCAGTTGGTATTTGGCCAAGTAAGACCAAATAGGAGCTTTGATAGTTGCAGTGAGTATGGCCACAAGTTCTCGAGCTGCCCCATAACTTGCAAGCGTAGTTATATGTGTGAAGAGCCCAGAAGTTTCTTTTATAAGTTAACCTGTAGGCTGGTGGAAATTTGGATGGTTCTTGATTACGGCGTTCTACATGTTGTGACTCATTCATGATCAGCACTGTCCCAGCTACTGTTTCTATTTTAAAGGATCTGTCAGTGTCCATGCTTACATTATAGTCTGCCTGTGGGTGACATCCATAAGCAAACAGCCACTCCCAAACCAGAAATGGCACAAGGGACCACATAGACCTGAGCAAAATGCTGTGACTTTCTCCACCCACCCCTATCCAACCTGGAGATAACAAACAAGCAAAAACTGATGCTCAAATTTAAAAAAAAAAAATTATTTTTATGTGTATGGATATTTTGCCTGTCTGTATGACTATGCACCGTGTGTGTGTAGTGGCCACAGAGGAGGGTGTCAGATCCTCTAGTACTGGAGTTACAGATGGTTGTGAGCCACCATGTGGGTGCTGGGAATTGAACCCAAGTCCTTCAGAAGGTCAGTCCGCTCTTAACTGCTGAGGCATCTTTCCAGCCACTCATCCCCCCACTCTATGCTATTTCTTAAGCACTAGTCTTGGTTTTTCCATGAGGATTGATGTGCCTAACTAAGCTGAAGATTATATCAAACGTCATCTTTTATTCTTTATCCTCTTTAAATCATACCTCTTTTAACAAATCTAAAGAAGTCATGGATCTTCTTCTTGGGATCTTGTGTAGACTCAAAGCATGGGAACACAATTTGTCTATAATGTAATGGCATTGGCCAATCCAAGAGCCCATACCTAGACCTCACTGAAAGACCTTCTCAGCTTTAATGTCCTTTAGAAGAATGAAAAATGGCCACAATTAATAATGCACCCTACTGGTTTGAGGGGGGGGCAAGTTATTTCACCCTTAGACACATCTGTCTCAGAAGAATCTCAGAACCCAAAACATAATTTTACTCACTGGTACAATTCAAAACATGTTAACAATTATATATAACTTATATATAATATATGATTTTCAGAGGCGTTTTACCATTATGATAGGCAACAATGTGAACATTCCTCTTGTAAATGGAGCAGTAAAGCATCTCCGTCAATCTCTTCTGACATATTATCCATTAAGAGGGTTGGAACTGGGCCGGGCGATGGTGGCGCACGCCTTTAATCCCAGCACTCGGGAGGCAGAGGTAGGCGGATCTCTGTGAGTTCGAGACCAGCCTGGTCTATAGAGCTAGTTCCAGCACAGGCTCCAAAGCCACAGAGAAACCCTATCTCGAAAAACCAAAAAAAAAAAAAAAAAAAAAAAAAGGGTTGGAACTGTAGCTCAGTGGTAGAGCAGTTGCCTAACACACACAAGGCTCTGGATTCAGTCCTTTGCACTGAAAACAAAAATACAAAATTTTTTATAAGAACATTGATTTAATTTCTTCCTTCCTCTCCTAACTCTCGCCCATTGTTCTATTTATTACAATGCTGGCCACCAGGTATTGCTCAAAAGCCTCTATTGAAACAGTGCTCTGAGATCTCAAAACAGGAGATGCTACGCCACTAAGAGGGTATCCTTTTTCTTGCTTAATACTTGCAACATTTCTTTGTGGGATCCAGCTCTCTAACTAACCTAATCTAACTAACTTCACACCATCTCTACCTGTAGTCATAGGTGGATCCCAAGTTTACTTTCTACACTATCCCCTGGCAGTATAGCATGAATAAATGAACATCAGCCAAAGATTATCAAATGCCTTTAAGAATATTTCCCCAAGCCAGGGGTGGAGGCTCTCGCTTTTAGTCCCAGCACTTGGGAGGCAGCAGCAGATAGATCTCCATGATGAAGATCATCCTGGTCCACACAAGTCCCAGGCAAGCTAGAGATGCCTAGAAAACAAAGACCGTGTTTCCCTGAAGAACACAGATATTATCAGTGAATAAAATGTTCCACAAGGACAACCTGAACTCGGGAAGACCCAATACTTACAACTAATATTTTATAATAGAAAAAGAACTGCATAGCCCCATGAGCAAGTGGACTTAGTTCTAAAATGCAAAAACGGTTCAATAGACAAACAAAAAAATTGGTCGATGGAATCCACATCAACCTAATAAAGAGGTGAAATCACGGGATCATCTCAATTTATACAGAAAAATCTTTTAACAAAATGCAGTACTCTTTCTAGTTTAAAAAAAGCGCTCTATAAACTGGAATTAGAAGGAAATACCTTATTAAAAGCAAAGCCTGTGCCTTTTAAAAATTCACAAGAAACATCATACTCTATCCTGAAAGACTGAAGACTTTCTCCTTAGATCAAGAACAAGAAAAGATGTCTGTTTCATCACTTTTCTTCAACATAGTACAAGTTTCAGCCAGAGCTAACCTCACCTCCTCAGCTAGTTCTTCAGTGCTCCCTCTTATCGGACCCCAAACTTTTTATATGTCCCAGAAAAATGGAAGTTATTGGCTCCTTTTTTGTTTGTTTTGTTTTTGCTTTTATTTTTCTCTGTGGAGCTTTGGAGCTTGTCCTGGGTGTTTTTGTTTTCATAAAGCTGTGTAAACACGGTCCTCTGCTTGCTGTTGAGGATACGTCAAACAGTACTGGTTGGGGAGCACTGTCTAAACAGGTACTTGGCAAAGAGAGCACCTGCTTTGTAAACAACTTTTGGAAGTATTTGCCCTCAAAGCAAACTGGAACCCCACACACACATGGTTCCCATTGCTTAATGATTAAATGCCAATGGATATAACCCTTAAGAAAGAGTAAAAAAGCATATACTTTGCAAAAGCCTCAGAAGGGCTCAGGTTCTTTGACTGGTTCGCTACACTCCTAAGAGCTGATCCTAATAACACCCATAACGCCTCTGGGGAACCGCTGCATAATTAATTATGGGAGGGTCATGCTGACCCAGACAACGTCAGAGCAGAGAGATCTATGGGGAGAAGCCAGCCCTCAACTCTACCCCAGACAAAGCTCTGAGGACTCAGGAGAGGAAAAGGGCACAAGGATCAGGTGACTTAAGTGATTCCGCAATGGACATGTTGAGGCTGTGCTTTCCAGGCATGGGAGACTCCAGGCTCAGCTGATCCAGATTGGCTCCAGATTAAGCCTAGGCTCCCCCCACCCTCCATTAAAAGGGTTTTTAGGAAGAGGAAAACAAACTCTAACACTATCAAATGAGCCATTGTAACAGGTGGCAGTGGGCATGGGCAGTGGTTGGCAGGCAGGTACTATATCTATACATGGTGGCCCTGGTTCTACATCATGGCAACTCTCACCCTAGAACTTGAAACCAGACTGTCACTGTCAATGTAAGGAGCATCCTCATTCTAATGTCCATTTAGAAATAAGGTAACTGAGACCCAGAAAGGTTAAGTGACTTGTTAAAGTTGATACAGCCGATGTAAATGTCTAGCTGAGACTAGCTAACACACAGGTTCAGCAAATGTGGAGCGCTTCCACGATACGGGCACTGCACCTGCTCTGTAGACGCCCTGTCCTCCATAAGCTCACAGACCACAGCTTGGCTCAGGGTAGTGTGCAAAGAGCTATCAGAGAGTCATCCTGCAAGAGGTGAGGCCTACAGAAGGAAAACCAGGAATCCTGAGTATGGACAGCACAGGCAATGACGCAAGAAAGAA